CCAGCTCCCAAAAATACTCTTAATCGGACAAGCAAGACTGCTTCCAACAGTTGACCAAGTATGTTGTAAAGATGTAACAAGGGGTGCTGCATACTGCTGGCGAGCGTGTTTAGATTCCTGCTAAGGACCTTTAACACAGTCCCAATAAGGAGAACTAGTCCTCATTCGTTTCAATTACAGACACTAAACTGGTACCATAAAACCTCACTACAATGCTCTTTGTAGTACTGTAGTTTGCTTTATGGCAATGTGTGTCAGCCCTCATTCAAACATGCTAGTATGGGTAGGGCCAAACTTGCGTCCTTCAGTTTATTTGTGTTTCAGTTACCCATCTGTACCATAGGGTAACAATCCACATGCCTGAGATGTGAAGTGATGAATGTCTGTGAGGCACTCAGATGCAATGTGATAGCAGCCATGTCAAGACTTACTTAGATATCAAGAGGAAGTGTGGGCCTCGTGCTTCCAGTGTTAGCTGTGCAGAAACTCCACCAGCTCTTTTAAGTCCTTGGACCTTTGAGGAACTGGTAGGTCTGCACGAGGCCATGCTTTTAACCATCAGGATCTTCTAAAAGGTTCCTTTCACCGTGCAGGAGGACTGTAATGGTAGACGTGCATAAAATAGAAAAGGGGCCTGCTTAATTGGTAGTTCTGTTGAACACTGAATGCCAAACAAACATTCATATATTGTTAGGGTTTGACTTAAACTCACAAATACCTGAAAGTAAAGAGTGCAGGTGACCATGAAATCCTTCTCTGGCCTCTTCTGCTTATCTTCCTGGCTAGCCAATCTAATTATGCATTTTTAGAATGTGTGCCCATCCCATAAGTATGTATGTGTGCAAACTCACACTTGGTGTGTGTAAAGAGGTTTATCACACACACTTTTGCACATGCTCCTTTAAAGATTTGATACATTAATACTAAAAAATAGTGAGAATTTTCTCCCTTTTCTTGTAATTGACCTGAAATTTTCATCACTGCCTAAAATAATTGTTTGACTTGCAGTACAGCACTTCAAGGTGCAACAATTTGTCCATTTCTCCTTTTGCTTCATAAATACGTATGCTTTCTATATCTGTAACATGCTTCTCCCCCGTTCCCTTTTTTTCCCCTCTATTTTGTGCCAGTAGCAGGTAAATGCAAAACATCACACAGCAGCACAAGAGAAATAAGCTTTGGAAGGTATCCTAGCGACACATCATTCTGGGAACCTGCTCTGTTTTTATGAGCAAGATCAAAGCAAACATCCTGGACTCACAGCATGGTGGGACTAGATTGGGCTTTGTGTATGATTGGTTCATTTCCTTAAAATCTTACTTTGAAATGTACATTGAACTCTAAATGTTAAGGTAACCTTCTCAGCCACAGCATGGTAGGAAAGAGGAAATAGTGTGTACTTCTTGAGAAGCCCTGCATCTCATATACCTAATAGAGGCCAGCTGACACACAAATGAGCATTTACTACTAAACTATTTTCATTCAGATATGTTTTCAGGTAATTATTAATACTACCATCTCCCTCTTAGACAGCACTTTTCCTAGCTATTCATTTAAGAATTGAATTTTCATAAACATTTATCCAGAATTATTGAATTGCTTATGTTCTTTCCTCTAGGGTGTTAGATAGTGAATAGTCATGTAAGCACACAAAATATTATCGGTTATAAAATAGTAGTCCCCGGGGTGGGGCCAACAACCAGTGCACTCTAGCTCCACTCTGGGGAGCCCCCTCTCAGAAGCAGCAACAGGAGGAGGTGGGAGCTGGTACACAACGGGAGCCAGTTTAAAAACCAGCTCTCCATGCAGACTGGCTCTGTTTGCTGCCTCCGATACGGAAGCACCAGCGTGGAGCGGTACCTGATCAAGATCCCCATAGACAGTGGCTGCTCCATGGGATGCTGGAGCAGCCCCTGTATGTGGGGACCTTGGATCCCCTGCGGAGAGGGGCTGCTGCCATGGAGCAGTGTTTGTCCGTGGCGAGCCCAGGCCCGCTGCAGACTGAGGCTACTTCGTGGCAGCTCCCCTGGCCTAACCCTTGCCTCCTCCACTGCTGCAGTGAGGGGGGGAGGATGGGAGGGAGACAGCAGCAAGGGGAGAGCAGGTGGGTCTGTGGAGCTGGCATGTGCAGAGAGCCATCTTAAAAGCTGGCTCCCCATGTTTATCGGCTCACCTGTCCCCCTCACCCTCCGTGCTGCTGCCTCTCTAGCAGAGGCAGTAGCACAGGGGTGGGAGAGGACAAGTGGATCTGGTGCTTGTGGGGAGCCAGCTTTAAGACAGCTCCTGCCTCTCCCTTTTCTTTCGTTGCCAAGGCATGTAGTCTGCTGGATTAACTGATAAACTGTTACCCAGGGAATGAGAGAACATTAATTTTGAATGTCAGTTAGGCTTGCTCCAACTAGCTGTTAATGATCCCTGATCCAGAAGCGAGATTCACCTGGTAATCCATATCTCTATCAGCAGCGGACTGCTGATCCAGTAATCAGGCACACAAGGTTTAGGGCCAAACCATGTATTTTAGAAATTTAAACAGCAAAAACAGGAGCAATAAACGTAACCCACCCTATCCCAAGATATAAAGAAGACAGAAAAGATCCCAATACAAAAGGTAATACTTTACAAAATGTCAGGCAATCGGCGCTCGCGACCTGTAACTTCTTAGGTAATTTAAAGCCTTGAAGGAGGACCAGCAAGGAGATCCCTCAGTGCAGTGATCCCAGCCTGTTGGCCTAGGGTTGCCAGAAGATCCTCAGTCGTCTAGGAAAATGGCTCTCCCCGGGTACGGCAGTGGTTGGCTCTTCAGCGAAACCGTCCGATCCGGAAGGCAAGTGGGATGATGACAAAGTCCAAGTCCAAAAGTAATATGACTCCAACCCAGAAACCCTATGTGGGTTTCCACACGTGGGTGGTACGTGAGTCAAAAACAAAAGGCTTCACCACAGTCCACTAATCCATAGATGTTATACTGAATAGACACGAACACAAAAAGGTATGGAACCTAAGGAACCCAAAGAACCAGAGGAACCCAAACTCTCCTCAGCCCAGACCTTTTATTGGCCTTGCAGCGGGAAAAGGAGTTGACGTGCTGAGTGCAATAGTTAGGGCCTTGTGCAGATGATTAGAGGGCTGAGTGCAGCTTTGGTGAGGAGTGCAGCCCTGTAGGGATGAGTGCATAGGAAAAGTATTGTGTGCAACGCTGCTCTTTTGGCGGGAAGCTACATTTGTGGTAAAGACATCCGTTATACGAAATGGCGGCTGCACAGACTCCATTTTGTGTACCCTTATTCACATTGAGATTACACTCAGGGTTACAAAGCCTAGGCTTATCAGTTAATCATTTAGTCGACTACACAATGACATCCCTACTATCCTCTGCTCCTTATCTCTTCAAAGTCTTTCTCTTTGGGCTGTTTAACAATGGGCAGCAACTGTTCCGCTGTGCTGAATTAGCCCTTCTTGTGTCTAGCACAAAACTCCCTTTGACAGTGTATTGTGCCTTGCAAGCAAGATTGGCTTTCCACATCTTCCGGCTGTCAGTCCTCTCACCCTCTCTGCTGTGATTTTGGGAACTTTCCTATGGCAAAGGGAGAAAATCCCCTAATGGAAAATTGAAGTCAGAAACTATATTAACTCCCACCCACATGCACCATGCTGTAACCTCTAGTGGCCATATGGCCCAGTGACCATTATGTTCTCCCAACACCCGCTATGGACAGCCCAATCCTGCCGGTAGCTCTGTACTAGCATGAAATGCCCCTGATGGGGGGGGGGGGCGGCGGACGAACTAAAGGACTGGCAGAAATATCACAGGAAGAGATCAAAGAAAGCTAATATATTTGTATATATCACGTTACATATTCTTCCACATATGACCTTGCCTACTGACAGTCTATGCCATACAGTGTTCTTGCCTGTTCTGGGTTGTATGGGAACACTATATTGCTGTGAAAGGTCTGACAAGGAAGAAAGCAATGGGAGTATACATAAAGCTACATTTTAGCCAACTAAAAACAAATGTAAAGCTTTATACCTTAGAAACTTTACACCTAAGAAACACACAGATCTGTATCCTGACTGATTTTTTTTTAAAAAGGATGAATATTTTCATGTAAATCCTACTGTCTGCATTTTGACCTGTCTGTACAGTTGTTTACCAACCTGCCTGTGATTTGATCTGTAGCTGACTCACTGCTTCCCTGCTGTGGCTGGAAGAAAGCAATGCAGCTTTATCAGTGTCATAGGGCATCACTTAACTCAGGGACACTAATACCAAGACTTGCAGTGGGTAGCAAGTGGGCAGGTGAATTAAGAGCAGAGCTTCTGGTAATGTTCTACCACAAAAGCACTAGCCATGTCTCCAATGAGACTTCACAGAGACTAGGACAGGTCTGAGCTCAGACGTGGGTGGTATATGATCTATTCTGTTTGACGGAAAAACTGATCCGTACTGTCAAACAAAAACATCACTTGATTCTCCTCTAATTCATTCCTCTACACCCTCCTGTTTGAAAATTCTAATATTTCACTTTTCACATCACCCTGTCATTACTGCTCTCAAACACTTCCTGTTAAATTTTCAGTGGATCAAAGAGACCAAAAGAATCATGTTCTCCATGCCACTTTTCTTTTATTCCCTATATTTATGCCTCTTTTCCTCCTCCTGGTTCTTATTTGAAAGGTTTCTACTTTAGGATTCTGGTTTCCTTTCAAAGAATTTAAAAATAAATGACATTAAGTTTAGTAAAGATTCTGTCTGTGTGCTGTATTGACAACTGTTTGGTTTGCCTTTTATTACTGTCAACAAAAATAGAGTGCAAAAATGTTACTTTTCCCCCAGCTTTCATCCCATCTCTCTAGCAATAGTTGGATGAGGAATTAATTATTCAGGAAAGAATATCCAGAGCTTCCTCTGCTTCCTGTTTGCAAGCAAAGACTTCTGGCAGCTTTTTCCTGTGCTTCTCCTATCACTCAAAGCATGTTTTTCTGAATGTGTTCCACAGGTGCCTACAAAGAAGCTAAAGAAATATGAGCGAGAGTATCAGACAATGCGAGAGAGTCAGCTGCAGCAGGAAGATCCAATGGACAGATATAAGGTACAGGGGACACTATAGGGAAACCTACTCTATCGGCTAAATTACATGGACTTGTGATCAAATTTCACTAGCCAGAAAGAGATGCCTACGCCAGTATTGGGATATGCCAATACAGTACAAGAAAACTACATGGGGACATAAAGCAGTGGGTCTAATTACTGTAATTTTTTAATGATCACTTAGTCATTCTGATTTTCCAGGACTATTTCAGTCAAAAAATATTGAACACTTAAGAAGCCCTCAAATAGCCACATATAATATTTTTCTTCTTTCAGTTTATATGTTTGTAGGTAACTCCCCTGCTGTTTCGCTTTTACTGGGAATCTGCATGAGACGCTGAGAGACTGAGGGTGATACTCAACTACTGACAGAAAAAGGAGGAAATAATTCTTTTTGTTTAGCAAAAGCTGTGCATGGTCACATCCACAAAGACTGTAGGAAGGTGATCTCTTCCAAAACTGACATATGGTCCTTGTCCTTAATCTTTGTTTGTAGCAAGGTTTAATAATTTTTGTTAGTACACAAGGGCCCTGATCCCTGGTTGGGGGTCCCCTTGGTTCTACTGCAATAGAAATAATAATAAATAGGATTAAAATAAAGCCCCAATGATGTGTGAAGTAGAATAATGTTGGTAATTATTACATTTATTTGAATTCTTATCAATTACAGTTAATGGGATGAACAACACATAGTCACAGGTTCAACATCCAATGTTTTGTGGAGAAGCCAAGTTATTAGTTTGTTAGGCTGATGGCTCACAAAAAAGGATTAGCTCAATAATATATCCGAATTTCTGATTTCCAAGGTAATTGGCCCCCAATGCTGAAAGCTGCTCTCTTCAGGCAGACCACCACATGCACATAGGTCCAGCCACACAAAACAGATTATTGGGTCGGGGCCTGACTGTATGACTATCCAATAGCTTGCCAGGATTGTGTTATATAGTATATACAAGCAGGTATAAGTATGTTATTCTTTGTGGTGGTTGTTTTCTGATACTGCATAGACAGGCAGATCAAGAATCATTCATTCAATGAACCCATTTATAAATAATTTCAAAGAATGAATAAAATTGACAGTTCCATGATCTACTTATGAATAGGGGAGGCAAAAATCTGCGGAATAAATTTACAAATTGTGGCCTAGATCCTGCATTGAAAACCAGATATGCAGCTCCCTGCACCTGCATGAGGCTACATTGGCTTCAGTGTGGCTCTGTCCAGTTGGAGGAAGTCTGCCCCTGCAATTCTCAGTACAGGATTTGGGCCTAAAAAGCACATTTTGATCAAACTGTTGACATTTCACCACAATAACCTTATACAGTCATGTAGTGAAAGATTGATGTTATAATGCTTACACATGAAGAGGCAGAGTTAAGACTATGTGTGAAAGACTAATTGGCATTTCTTGATTTTTGAGGCTAATTAACATTTTTAGCATCATTCTTTCTTTATGGAATACAGCATAGATCTGATTTTCTGTAAGAACTAGTCTGCATTCATGGCCAAGAGAATGTTAGATAATTTCCCTGTTTAGAGAGAACCATATTTACTGCTCATTAACTTGGATTGTTTTCCTTCTTGTTTGCTCGTACTAACATAGAACTAGAATAATAGAGACTGTAGGGTACTGAGCATCTTCCAAACAATGTGCAAGCATATTAGCTGGTTAATCTTACAGCACTTGTGGGAGATGGATTCCCATTTTGCAGCTCATGAAACAGGAGAAGTGTCTGACTTTGCCACAGCAGAGTGAGTCACTGTCAGAGCCAGGACTAGAATCCAGTATTCTGGCATACAGTAGTAATTATTATCTGGCTCAGATAAGGTCACCTTTTGTTGATACACCGATCCCTCACATTCAGCTGAGCCACATTTAGTTCACATTTTTTATCTGCTAGGTTTCACGCATGGAAAAGAGGTTCTCTTAGTGGGGGAACATATCTGTTATAAGTGCATTAATTCCCGTTTTGTATGTTTAATTTTATGAGTGTGTCTTGATGAGAATGGTGGGAAGCAGCAGTTGAAAATTATGCATATACGGCTCAGTTAATTATAATTCCAGGCTTGCATGGAAGCACAAGGGGGAGAAAGCAACAAGAACCCAGCCCTGCCCACCCCTGCAGCCCTTGTGTTTCAGAAGTGCAAAGACTATCTCCACACCGCTAGGCTACCTAAAACTGGAGGATAGCACTTTGCACCTTGTCCAAGTGCCCAGGCTGGCCTGAAGTGATGCCTTCAGGACCTCCCACTGCAATGATGTTCTCCATATGGGTTGTGGCTTAAAGACTCAGTTTTCCTAAAAGAAAATTGTTTTCAGTTCACCCTTCAGCAGGGGGTGTGGCTTTTGTTTACTGATTTCTTCCTACCTCAGTGGAACAGGGATCTGTGCAGCATGTTAATCTTTTGGGTGCAGACTACATTTAATCTCTCCCTTGTTTTCAGCATGTGTTTCACTACTAGTTCAACACTAGGGTGATCATTAAGATGTACATCAGTAGCTTTGTTGTATGTCACTTTGTTCAGTATTAATTCAGGCCCATTAAGGTTCTTAAAGAATAAAGCTGTCCTGTGAATTGCCCCCACCTAGATGGGGGAGTAGGGCTTGCAGGACTCTTAAGTGAAGAAGGGTTGAAGCTTCCCAATCTTATAGAGCATGTGGATCTGCAGGGAAGGGCCCCATAGACTGACAATGCCAGGAGCTATCTGTTCAGTTGGCCTTCTCTTCTAGCAATCTGGCTCTAGTAGAAACCATGTTATGGAGTCATGGGAGCAGAGTTGGGAGAGCTGAACAGCTGAGGTATGTTAGCTCCTAGCCACATTTCCAGAGCAATCCAATGATGGTGATACATAGGGCTAGTCCTTCTGCCCACTCTGTTCAACACTCAGTGGCATCTCTTCTGGGCAGTACACCTATAGAGGGGCATGTGGGTCTTCTGGTGAGGAGAAAAGAACTTCTAAGGAAGAATTTTTCTCCCCCACCTTTCTTAATGCAGCTCTTCAAAGGAATAGGCCTAGACATAGAGATTATTTCTCTGCCGAAGAATTTTTTTAAACAGATAGCAACAATTCACAAGATGTTCTTCACCAAGTTCAGTAGAGTGATATGATCGAACAGACTGACACTAAACCAGGAAGGTATGGACAGAATTGTACATTTGTGATTATTACATTCTAAGAACTGTCCAACTCCAAACCATCTGCAAATTCTGAGATAATTTCACATTTGGATTTTTACATCATCTGATTAATAATTAGCTAGCCAGATCCTACATAGACTGAGTGGAAGCAATGTAGTACTGTATGCTACTTGTACAGTATGATGCAAGAATTAGTTATTGGGCATACTTATTTTCTGTAAGTGAATTGACAGATTTCATTCATCACACACACATCAGAAATTCACTCTGAAATTTACTTTGGGCTTTCTTTTTTTCCCTTAATTTAGAAATATTTCATTTAGGAAAACTGGATACATACAGACACATTTCTGCAGCAGAATAATTTTACTGTTGTGTTTTTTCATTCAGAGAAATATAACATCTGACATTTTCACAGACTAAAACAGAAACACAGCTGAGTTGTCATCCTTCAGTACATTTAATTGACTCTCAGTTAAAATGAGTCACAAATTGTAGAAGCCAGTAAAAAATATGAACTGCATGTTTAAGAAAAGTAGCAAAATAATTCAAATATTTTCCTCATATTCTGGGTGATTTTCCCTGCTTCTGAGAATTTCTCTCATATAATATTTGTTGATAGGCTGTATCAGTGATAAAAGGTATTGGAGCCCATAAAGAATGTCATGTACAGTCATGCAAACAAAAGCTAGAATCCTACAGGTAGACCCTGCACCTTTCCAGAATCCCACTTGACTTCAATGAGAGATCTACATCCACAAAAGGATCAGCTCACACAACTCAAAATAGATTAGGACCAAAAATGCTAAATGTCACTGCCCTATTTATCTTAGTGAAATAAAATAGCGAAGTTTTCTAGTCCTTCAATGTGTTCTTACTGTAATAAGGTAAATATCTGCTTTAATTTTTACTGCTAGAATATGATCCTTAACAAAAATTGTTCACATTCAAAATTGCTTTAACATTCTAATTTTTCACAAGAGCCCTGATCCTGCAACAAGATCTGTGAGAGGGAGTAACACTGGTATGGCTCCCACTGCCATACTGGAGCAGTTTTTAATCTGTATTAATGTATAAACCAGGTGCATTAGCATTGAATATGCCTGGAGTGTGAATAAGTAAAAATTAATATTCCAGTAATTGTTATTTTGGTGCTAGTTGGCATTCTTGAATGAAGGAAAAGGAACATTTGATAACTGTTAGAGTAGTTTTGTTTTTTAACTCAGCACTTTGACAGTTGAAGGAATGTTTCTTTAAAACCAGAGCCAAGAATTCATCGTAGTAGCAGATTGGACAGTGAAAAACTGTATGATGCCTGAAAACCTCTTTGTCCTGGATAATTGTTCCTTTAAAGCTTTGTGGCTTTTTAGCCACCTGATATTTCTCAGTTTTTCCATCTTGGAATTAACCTGATTGATTGTTCTTTTGGATTGACTCAGGAATACCTCAACCTACCGCAATGTATGTGAATTCTATTCAATCTTTTCATTTCCTTCTATCAGGAACAAACTGTCTGTTTTAAGAACTGCTTTTTGGTACAACAAAATGTGAAATTTAAGATTTCAGCAAGATTTGTGACAAAGTCACACCCTGCTTTAGAAACAGCAGAAATGAAAACAATTTGCATCATCATTGGTAATCTTGTATATTCACCCTTCATGCTAGCTTGAGGATAGCAGAGGGGGTGGAGTTTAGCCTTTTAGTCTTCCTGAGCTGGGACTTGCCTACAAGTGTCAAATCAGCTTGCTTTCGTAAGTCAAATGTTTGTTTTAATAAGTGGAAGCTGTAGTAGATCATATCTTAAAAAAAAAGAAAGTGGAAAAATCCCAGTATGGGATTAGTGGGTCAGGATTTTTTTAAATTCCTAATTATTTTGTTTGGTATTTAAAATTCACTGGATATCCTGTTTTCACTGTTTTGACACCAATGATTGAAAGCAGTAGTTGGTCTGTGACTTTGCAGGAGGTAAGTTTATTTTTGTGTACATGTTACATATGTGTTTGTCTCTATTGGAAATGCAGTATCCTCCTTTTATAGACACTAACTAAATTTAACCAGCTGTCCTTTGTGGCAAAAGGAAAGAGGTTAATTTGGAAAGCTGCATCTTTTATTTTACTGCTTGTGGAAACTGAATGATACCAAAGAGAAGGGAATATTTAGTACAGGCAGTAAACTTTTATAAATGCAAAATGCTGTGTCTTTAGAGGCAAGGTAAGAAGTGATTGGCAGGTTCTGTTTACACCTGTATAACATCTAGCAGGTCTGACTAGTCAGCTCATGCCAGGTTACAAAATGCTTGCTCTGATGTGAGCCCAGTTGTAGCTAATAAACTGCAGGTAAATTGAATCTCATGATTGCATCTCCTGCAAATGAGAATGTGTAAAGCTTTGCAAAACACTTGAGATGTGAGAAAAGTAGCTCACTTCCTTTTTTGAGAGTCGCAGTTTAGTTAGTATCTTCCTCTTTTTTTGGTTTGGATTTAAACAGATTTAAGAAAATGCTCCTGAGGATGCATGCAGTTCTTGATTGCTAGGGTTTGGGAAGGGGCTGGAGAAGACTAGTCATAGCTAATCTGTTAGTTTACATCCTTGTTCTGAAGGAAAGGAAGAATAAAGGCAACTTGAAAAAATTATCCTCAGCTTGAAAATAAGTCTCTGTGATTCTACATATATTTAATACCTGTTAGCTGGTATATTGAATAGAATGCACATCTAACATTTTAAAATCTGCCATGCAGACTGCTGTTTATGAGGAGGATAGTGCATTTCCAACCACATAGCTTGCTTTTCCACTTGTCTAAGTCCAGAGAAGGAGTTTGGATCTTCTCATTATGCTGCTTGCTTTGCAGACACTGAAGCTTCTGTAAAAAGCAAAGTGAAGAATGTTAAAGCCTACCAACTTTTAGGATTATTTCACATAGGTCTGAAAGGAATCCAGATTTCTTCCTTATTTTTAAGTATTCCTATAATTAGCATTACAACACCTATGTTAGTAATTTCTGTCTAGTGAGAGGTTTTAAGTAAAGTTGGTCTCTTTCTGAGCTATATTGTCAGGCAGCCATCTTTGCCAATAAAATTGGCAAACCTTTGATGGTTTGAATAAAGTGCTGAACTAAAGACACTTGATACTCTCCTGAGACTGTAATTTAGTTTTATGTCAGAGTGTATATTCTCCTTATGTGAAGAATTAGTTTTTAACAATTGTATATTTATAACAGAGTACACTGTAATTTAAATAACTCAAGAGTTTTGTATATTTAAAAGATTTTTACTTGACTAGTGTCAAATCATAAGAAATAAGGTCTTTTATATAAGGCTTCAGTAACCATGTAGCAGTTGTTTGTTTAATGGATGATCTCTTTAAAAGGAAACAAATCTGCCTTCCTGTGCAATATTTCAGGCACTGTTGCTCAAGGTCACACTGAAGATTAGGTATTTGCAAAGGCTCTACTTCCTGGTACACAGGAAGCTGTTTAACAATATGAGAGGGTTCCCCCCCCCCCTTTAAAAAAATCCTTTTTGAGCAGTAGTTCTTCTTGTTTGTATTAGGCAAGAATATGAAACGCTTTTTGTAGCAGAAGGATATTGGAGCAAAACCTGTGCTGTATATCTGGACTTAAAAGGAGAAATGCCTTGCCAATGTCTTCACTTAGGATTGTTATGAACATAGTTGCAAGTAGGAGTAAAATTAAGAAAGCTGAGTAGCATGTTTATGCAGTGGCTTCAAGAGTTGTTTTGAAGCAATCTATTGGTTGAGTAACTCATAAAAGTTTATTACAGAGGCAGTATCTTGCTATCTTAGATGTTGTAATGTATTTCATTTTAGTTCAAAGGAAAAACTGTCATCTGTCCTGAAGTGAAGAGATGGTAACATTTTAGGAAGACTATGTGGAGATTTCCTTTCTTCAGTCAGGAGAAAGTTTTTCATTTTGCATAGCTCAGAATTTCCCATCTCTTCTTTGGTATGAGAGACCAGAGGCCATTAAACAGGGCTAAGGCAAACAAATCTGCTGCTCTGTGCAAATTCATTTGATTACAATCCCCATATTTAGTCCATTCCCGTCTCAGAGCCCTTTACAGCTCCATGTTCAGCAGCCTGACTCTACTCACCCTGAGACACCTTTAACAAATGTTTCTGCCTTATGGCCCTTGGCCAAGAAATACAATTCCATTTATGATAAAAGCATTACTTATTTTTCTCCTCTCTCCCCCAATTTACTTACACCTTTCCAAAGTGGTTATAAAACATCAAAGAATATGTGACTCCCAAGATGCAAAGCTGGTGAGAATCAGGCCATAGTCATTTTTTTGGAATTTGAATACGTTTCAAAAAGAGGCTTGCTGTCCATTTGCACTCTTCTTTGGCAGATGTCCTTTGAATACACACTACAATCCACTTGCACGGATTTTGGAGAAAGCACAGGAAGAATGTTGATACATAATTTTCTGAACATAATCTTTCAAGATTTGAAAATCAGTATTTGGTAAAATGGGGCAGGATAGATTTTGTTTTGGACCTAAATAGACTATTAAGAATCTCTCTTTAAAATGGCTCTTGTTCACTGAACATTGTGTTTTGTGTATTATTTTATTACCTACCAAATTTCTGTTAAAGCGCTCCATGTACGAGCAGGGTATTCTTATGGTAAGAAGGTTGTTTTTGTGTTCAGAAAAACCTTAGTGTGTTACTTGAGTTTGAAACATAAATATGTTCATAAAGAGCTCCACAGGAATGGAATTGGAATTACTGCCCTTCAAGTTACATTTCCATAGTTCTGTTTTAGTTTTTCTAAACAGGCCCCGTCAAATGGGATACTGCATTTGCACTGCTGGCTTAATTCAATGTTTCCCAAAGCAGCAATCTTGCCTTAATTGTGCACTCATGCCTTTTTGCTTTTTTACACTTTTTTTCCACTCTCTCTTTCACACTATTCGCTTGACTTTTTGTTGTGTCCTTTAAAATTTATGATTAATTTATTCTCGTTTTTTCGTCTTTCTGCAGAGGGAGAACCGCAGACTACAGGAAGCCAGCATGCGGCTGGAACAGGAAAACGATGACCTTGCCCATGAACTTGTAACAAGCAAAATTGCCCTACGAAATGACTTGGACCAGGTAATGCAGGCACTGTATTGTAGCCAAGCCATCTAATAGTATGTAGAGGTGGGTAGAGCATACATTATATTGAGATAATACATTAAATTGCATTCACAAATGAATATACGTGCAAAATTGAAGGCATTGTTAGTGCCTTTATCTGCACTCATTGAGATCTCTACTAGGGATGTTATAGAGTAGTTGATTAACTGATTAACAAAAGCTTATAGGTTAATGCTATAGACTACACGCATTTTCCTTCCCACTTCCTCTCACCAGTAAATTTTGTAGCAGGCTGGCCAGCAGCCTAGCTCAGTCCTGGCTTGTGATGGGTTTGGATCCTCCCTAGACAGGGGTGGCTACCATCCGCGATGCTACTTTTTTTTATCAGAGGTCTGCGAGGGGAGCTGGTTTTTAAACTCCAGAGTGGAGTTGCAGGGTGCTCCTCGGGAGTGAGGCCAGAGTGCATCGGCTGCCAGCCCTGCCCCTGGGAACTATAGAATAGTCAACTAACAGATAAGAATTTATGAGGTTACTCGACTATTCAATTAACCAATATTTAACATCCCTAATCTCTACCTGATTTGTAACTGCAGTCAGGAAGTTAGGGCACGTCTACACAGCAGGGCAAAAATCAAACAAAGCTAAGCAACTTGAGCTAAATCCATTGCATAGCTTAACACTCTTCCTTTGACTTCCCTTTCTTGTCGTTATTCCGAAATAATGCTGTTGTGTAGAACTATCCTTAAGTATCTACATGGATGCAGTTTATTGGCACAAATATCTCTCATGCAAATATAAGAATATAGCTACTAACTTGAAAAATGTATGTCATACTCTCCAAAACTTTGATTTGCATCAATGCCTTCCACGGTGTCTCTCGCACACACATTCCTTTACTCTTCCAAAACCACGTAATCCTACCTTCAGCTACCAAGATTGCAGACAGCACTCCCAAGGAACCTGAGGAATGCTGGCAACAAAAGTCAAGATGTTTACTGACAGAAAAACTAATCTGCTTCCTAACAAACCTAAGCTATAGCACAGCAGACAAGTGCTGCGGGAGCTCTTTACATTATTCGGTTTACTTTGCAATGGTTATTATACACACAATTAGGGTGTTGTCTATTTCTTTACAATAGTGCATATGCTTTAGAGTTGCATCATGTTTTCTGCTATGTTCTTTGGAGGTGAACCATTAGTAATTATTTAATACATAATAATAAACCGGACAGATTCTGCACTCTTACTTCAGTAAGTAACATTTTACTCCAGTTGAAGCCAGTAGAAGCTGTTGAGTGCTAAGGTGCTCCTCGGTATGAATAAGGGTACCTAAATCTGGCTCTGCATGATTCTGCTTGGACTATCTATGGTTCCCAACTTACATTCAGAAATATCGATCATGCCATAAGTTTGTAGTTACTCTACCTTTGAATGTCCGTGTCTTCTGTTTTAGACTTGGTCACGCCTATAGTATGTGGAAGATTGACGCTGCCACGGTCGATCTTCCAGAGTTCAATTTAGCTGGGTCTATTACAGACCCACTAAATTGAACTCAGAGGGTGCCCCCGTCAGCACTAGTATTCCTGCTCCTCACAAGGAGTAAGGAAGCTGATGAGAGTGTTTGCTCCCATTGGCCTTCTGCTGTGTGGATGGCATGGAAACGCGATTTAAGATACTTCAACTCCAACGCAGCTGGAGTTGCGTATCTTACTTTAACCTTCCACTGTAGTGTAGACCAGGCCTAAGAGCCTGAGCCATGCTGGCAGGGGAGATGCACAAGTGGAAGAGGGTAGGAGTAATGCCTCTGGCCAGGAATAGACAGTAAGATCTTGTGGGAGGCTAGGCGGTATAAACTCCCCAGCAGCAGTTGCAATACACAAATTGTAATGCTTATCCCACAGCTGCTTATTTCTGCCTATTTCTGCTCTCATATTTCACCTTTTATGTAAGATAGTGGTTCTCAATTTTTTGGGGACATGACTCACCCTGCTCAATGCAAACCTTTCTATGGATCACCAGCCCCCCATGACAACAAAAGACTGCAGGAGCAGGCTAGGGAGTGGAGTATCTGTCCGGGAGATTGGATGCAGGAGCAGTGTGTGGGGGGAGGGTCTGGGCAGATGGAAGGGTGCAGGAGTGGGGTCTCAGTGGGAAAGGATGCATGAGGGGGTAGGAGTGTGGGATCTGGGCAGGAGGGGTGCTTACATGGGGCTATGTCTAGACTGCAGGCTTCTTTTGGAAGAAGCTTTTCTGGAAGAGATTTTCCAAGAAAACTTCTTCCAAAAGAGAATATCCATGCTTCAAAAGCACATCGAAAAAGCAATCTGCTTTTTTGACAGATCGCGTCCATTCCGTGTGGACACTATCTCGTATTTCAGCTGTGATTACTGTGAATGGAATAGCCACCAGGAAACATGTACTTTTTCCTCTTCTTTTGAAAGAACTCCCTCTTCCCCGTCCTCATGCCCTTTTCCAAAAGAACTCTTTTGGAAAAAGGCTCTTTCCTCGTAGAAAGAGGATTACCAATGTCAGAAAAAACCCTCTATTCTTTCAATTTTCTTTTGGAAGAATGTGATTGCAGAGTGGACATAAAAAATTCTGTAGTGTTGACATACCCTGGCTCTGTGCTTCCCACTGCTTGCAGGCACTACCTTCTGCTGCTCCCATGGCCATGATTCCAGCCAATGGAAGCAGCAGGGAAAGGCTTCAGGAGAGCAGTTTCCTAGTCTACTGTTCTTTCAGCTGTGGGGGCGGGGAAATGGCAGGGCAGGGAGGCTTGGTGCTCCTGAGCACACAGGTTCCCCTCTGCGAGGGAGGGAGGAGCTGCAAGATGGTCATGGACCACTTAATGGTTCACAGACCATACTTTGAGAACCACTATTGTACAGAGAGCTGCTTCTCCATTCCTCATGCTCACAGATACCTCCTCCCCCCCCCCCAGTATCTCTATCCTGGTGAGTCCCACTCCTTTTGCACCTGGATTCCCGCTCTACACAGGTTCCCCTCTGCGAGGGAGGGAGGAGCTGCAAGATGGTCATGGACCACTTAATGGTTCACAGACCATACTTTGAGAACCACTATTGTACAGAGAGCTGCTTCTCCATTCCTCATGCTCACAGATACCTCCTCCCCCCCCCCCAGTATCTCTATCCTGGTGAGTCCCACTCCTTTTGCACCTGGATTCCCGCTCTACCAAGCCCCCAACCATATGCATTTGGTTATACTCCTCCAAGATCTGGACTCCTCTACTGTGCCCCCACATCCTCTTCTACTGCTGAGCTCCAACTACCTTCAATCGCCCTTCAAGTTCACATTACATTGCACCCAGAACTGCCCCAATAAATCCCTTTGCATCCAGATTCCCTGTCCCGGATCCCCCACTGAACCACCAGCACCCAGACTGTCACACAGAGAGCCCTTTCAATCCACAGCAGGATTTCCCTCACTGTAGGCCCTTCCACACTTGGATCCTGTCTTGCTGAGCCTGCCTGCCCAACCTAGGATACTTGGCATGGAGGGCCTGGGCCCTGGGATATTTCTGGAGTAGGCCCCGTCTGTGCACTATATCAGGATTGGGTGCAGCCTTACCACTGAATCTGTGTCCAGCATGGGGGCCAATACTGTGATCTCCCTCTGTATTGTCAGTGGCCTGTGCTCCCCAATGCCATGCTGGAGCCTCCACATTTGACAAATAAAATTTGCAGAATTAAAATAGTGTGTGCAGAATTTTTTGCACCGAATGCCCTGAGGAGTAATAAGGCAATAATCAAGCAAGCAGCTGCTAGAAAAAGAGTTTTTCCTGAGTGAGTGGGAGAATATAGGAGGAAGAGTTGCATCAAGATTTTTTTTTACCTCCCTGCTTCTGATTCTCAGGCTGAAGACAAGGCAGATGTTCTGAACAAGGAGCTTCTCCTGACTAAACAGAAGTTAGTGGAAACTGAGGAAGAGAAGCGGAAGCAAGAAGAAGAAACTGCCCAGGTAAAACTTGTTTGGATAAGTAAGAATGCCCAAACACACACAAATCCTAAGTGTTTAAGGATGTAAATTAAACAACAGTATCAAGCATTTATTAGTGCCCACAAAGGAATCTTTCTCTAAGTCAGGTGAAAATAAATAATCCGCATAAGGATAAAAATGTGAAATTATGCATTTCTGATCATCTTGTGTGTTCCTACTGGAACGCTGAGCAATTATTTAAATCGCCGCTTCATTTTCCTGTGCCTGGTAGTCTAGCCTACATGCCTCTGTCACCAGAGGCATGTAGTCTAGACGTACCCTTAATGGAAAAGTTTTTCCATTAAAAGTATTTCCGCAAAAGCACGTCTAGATTGGCACGGATGCTTTTGTGCAAAAAATGCTTTTGCGCAAAAGCATCCGTGGCCAGTCTAGACGCGATTTTGCGCAAGAAAGCCCCGATCGCCATTTTAGCCATAGGGGCTTTTTTGCTCAAAACAGTTCTTCCCTGTCTACACTGGCCCTCTTGAGCAAGTATTCTTGCACAAGAGGGCTTTTTCCCGAGCGGGAGCGTGAAAGTGTTTGCAGAAGCAGCACTGATTTTGTACATTACAAAGTCAGTGCTCTTGCGCAAATTCAAGCGGCCAGTGTAGACAGCTAGCAAGCTTTTGCACAAAATCTTGACAGTCTAGATGCACCCACTATGTATACCCAAGGAGGCTTAATCAGACCTTCTTCAGAACCCACAACAGTAGCTGGTGGCAGCAAATTAAAGCCATATACTGTCTTATCAGTGCCCCCACGCCTTTATCCCAAGGACAGACTGGAGGTGAGGTTTTTCCTGTTGGGTCTCACCTGATACTGCATTTATAGACTTTTTTTAATTAACTATTTTTAATCTTGAACAGTGATCTCCATATTATTGTTTCAGTAGCAAAACCACTCTCTCATAATCCTGGAGGTTTTCTTTGTTACTTGGCTGTCAGCAGAGGCTGGAGCAATAAGTTTTATTTTGCTTCACTGCATTAACAAAAGATTATCAATGTCCCACAAAGAACAATCCTTCATAGTTGAGTTTCTCAAGAGTCCCCTACTCTCTCTGTGTCATAGAGCTGTGCTACCTCTGGCAAGAGAGCAACTTCACTTGTGTTGAAAGGTTTCTGTATCTTCCTGAGTGCTTGCTCATGTCCATTCCAATTAGGTGTGCGTGCACTGTGTGCATGGATTCCAGAACTTTTTCCCTTAGCAGTGTCCATCGGGCCAGCCATGGAGCCCCCCGGAGTGGCGCTGGCGTGTCGGTGCCGCAGCTGGTATCAGTGCCAATGTCCATATTAGGGCCGGTACCGATGTCGATACCGGGGCCACAGTCAGTCCCAGTATTGGCACTAATGTTACAATCGGTGCCGGGTTAGGCAAGCTTGCCCAGCTACCGTCACAGGCAGTAAGAAGGAAGTGAGGGGCCAGCAAGGATATACATGCACTGATATGCCAGCACCACTCCAGGGGGCTCCCTGGTTGGCCCGACGGGCACTGCCAAGAGAAAAAGTTCCGGAATCCGTGCACGTGGTGCGTGCACACACCTAATTGGAATGGACATGAACAACACATCTGGAAGAACAACAGTTATGAGGTAAGTAACCGGATTTTTTTTTAAATGGTGCTAAATGACAGGGCGGGGCTTTGGGAAGTGCATTACAATACTGTTATAAGTGATCAGATGGCATTCAGCCAAGAGTTCTGAAAGAATTAAAATGTGATATTGCGGAACTATTAACTATAGTTTGGAACCTGTCCTTTAAATTAGCTTCTATACCCAATGACTGAAAGATAGCTAATATAACGCCAATATTTAAAATGGATTTTCATTAAGGGCATTAACATTATTGCTTTGCTTAGTTCTTTAATCCTCTCTGAGATTCATATGCATAGAGCTATATATAGAGCCCCTGATCCTTCCTCAGGAGAACATGTTAGCTCTAGACAGAGATTACACTGCCTCTTGAAAGCTTGTAAACAATACCTGCTTAATGAAATCCTCTGGCAAATATCAAATTTTAACACAATTCAATGTAAGACACTTTCCACCCTAAAAAGTGCCATTCAGATTTTTACGGGCAGATATAAACATTGATGATTAAGAAGATCCTTTCATGGATTGAGAAGTGGATAAGAGACAGAATACAAAGGGTAGGAATAAATAGTAAATTTTCAGAATGGAGAGGGGTAACTAGTGGTGTCCCCTAACGGTCAGTCCTGGAACCAGTCCTGTTCAACTTATTCTTAATGATCTGGGGAAAGGGGTAAGCAGTGAGGTGGTAAAGTTTGCGGATGATACTAAACTGTTGAAGATAGTTAAGACAGAAGCAGACTGTGAAGAACTTCAAAAAGAGCTCCCCAAACTGAGTGATTGGGCAACAAAATGGCAAATGAAATTTAATGTGGATAAATGTAAAGTAACGCACGTTGGAAAAAATAACCCCAACTATACATAAAGTATGATGGGGGATAATTTGGCTACAACAAATCAGGAAAGAGATCTTGGAGTTATCGTGGATAGTTCTCTGAAAACTTCCACACAGTGTGCAGCAGCGGTCAAAAAGGCAAATAGGATGCTAGGAATTATTAAGAAAGGGATAGAAAATAAGACACAGAATATCTTACTGCCCCTGTATAAAACTATGGTACGTCCACATCTTGAATACTATGTACAGATGTGGTCTCCTCACCTCAAAAAAGATATTTTGGCCTTGGAAAGAGTTCAGAAAAGGGCAACTAAAATGATTAGGGGTTTGGAATGGGTCCCATATGAAGAGAGACTAAAGCAACTGGGACTTTTCAGTTTAGAAAAGAGGAGACTAAGGGGGGATATGATAGAGGTATATAAAATCATGACTGGTGTGGAGAGGGTGAATAAGAAAAGTTATTTATTAGTTCCCATAATAGAAGAACTAGAGGACACCGAATGAAATTAATGGGTAGCAGGTTTAAAACTAAGAAAAGAAAGTTCTTCTTCACACAGCATGTAGTCAACCTGTGGAACTCCTTGCCAGAGGAGGCTGTGAAGGCTAGGACTATAACAGAGTTTAAAAGAGAAGCTAGATAATTTCAGGGGGGGGGGAGGGATATGATATGATAGTCATGAGTGGTGTGGAAAAGTGAATAAGGAAAAGTTATTTACTTGTTCCCATAATATAAGAACTAGGGGCCACCAAATGAAATTAATGGGCAGCAGGTTTAAAACAAATAAAAGGACGTTCTTCTTCACATAGCACAGTCAACCTGTGGAATTCCTTGCCGGAGGAGGGTGTGAAGGCTAGGACTGTAACAGGGTTTTAAAAAGAGCTAGATAAATTCATGGAGGTTAAGTCCATAAATGGCTATTAGCCAGTATGGGTAAGGAATGGTGTCTCTAGCCTCTGTTTGTCAGAGGGTGGAGATGGATGGCAGGAGAGAGATCATTTGATCATTATCTGTTTGGTTCACTTCCTCTGGGGCACCTGGCATTGGCCACTGTTGGCAGACAGGATACTGGGCTTGATGGACTTTTAGTCTGACCCCGTATGGCCATTCTTATCAGTATTGCTATTCTGAGATGCTTGGGCTGGAGAGGTCATTGTGATAATCATGGCATGTTCCTCCTTCATTTTCACCAAAGAGAAAATTATATTTGAGTACGGCATTTGCAGTTTAGTGGGCTTATTTGTAATCAGTGCTAATAAAAAATGTTCCCCAAACTCTAGAGAAGAATTTCCCAACCAAGTACATGCAGTATGTGTCCCTATTCTTAAATGGCTGCTCATATTCCTGGGAATACAATCATACTACTAAGTTAACTGTACATTCAGTAAAATAGAGGCTATAAAAAGGCTTGACTGCCAGGTATTATCATGTAAAGGGAATTGGTAATGAAGACTAACATTATTATAGCTGCTGAATATGTTCAAGTGATCGCTCACGTGTTGAAAAACTCCTCAAAGCCCACCCACTAATTTGATTTCTCTTCTTGTACTTTCCAGCTGAAGGAAGTCTTCAGGAAACAGCTAGAGAAGGCAGAATCTGAAATAAAGAAAACCACAGCCATTATTGCAGAATATAAACAAGTAATGTTTATAGAGAAACTCGTTTTATATAATTACTTGCAAATCATTCTTCCTACTCCCCATCCTGGGCAAGCTGACTGCTCAGAGTTCTAGTCCCTGCATTCTTGACCAGGGCACGTCATTTCATTCCTTAGAAGACAGCAGTTCCTAACCACCAGTCACTGGCTGTGGCAACTATTGGAGCTCAAGCCAGCTGTTTGCGGTGACTCAGTTCCAGCAGCCGTGGTAGCTAAGGTGGCAACAGGAAGAGGTGGAGCAGGAAGTGCCTGCCCCTCTCTCTGTGCTTGGGGAAAAAAGGGCACAAAGGAGGATGGATCGTGTGCATCACCAATGGAAGCTGCCACTGCCCACATGACCACTTTTGCTGGAGGCAGTGCTGGGATTGAGGCGGCAGCAGAAAGAGGCAAAGCGGGAAGCTCCTCCCTCCCTCGATAATGATGGCCAACCGAGGCACTGCACTTTCCCCCTGTGGGGGCACAAGACACACTTGAAGAGGGAAGGAGCATGAAGGAGGAGGGCTGCTCCCCCTACCCACATCGCAGTAACGGCCACACTCCCTAGAGGAGGCAGCCTTGCTCAGGAGAGTGCGGGGATGGGGGCAGGCAAAAGAGTGTTGTCAGAGGCTGTGGTGGGATCACGGCACAAGAGGGTGTTGGCATGAGCATTAGTGGTGGGGAGGTCAAAGGCTGTTAAGCACTGGGGCACAAGGTGCTGGGTGGGAGCTAGGCAGACAGTAACATTATTTGAATATTCATTATTTGCATAATGAATATGCAAACATGCAAATAAAATGTTACTGGTCCACCAAAAGTTTGTGAATGGGTTTGCTGGTCTACGGCATAAAAAAGGTTGGGAACCATTGTTCTAAGAGCATGAATTGTAGACAGTTTATATTATTTCTAGAGTTCTCCAAATGAAATCAGCTAATTTCTGTGGAGAAGAATAATTCCTTATCAAGCCATCCCCAACCCACTACAGTGCACTGCTTCTTTGGCCCTGCTGCTGGCTAAACGTGTAGGCCAACTCCTCATTGAATTAATCAAAGCAATCTAAGTGTTAATGTTCCATCTTGGAAGATTACCATTTAGACTATCTTTGTCTGCTTTACTACTACTGATGGATTCACTCTGAGGAACTGACTGTGTGTGACTTTGGTAAAGCCATAAGAAGCTGTAATAAGACTACTGAAATGTATCACAAGATTTTTTTTAAAATAAACTCTCAAAAGGGGCTGTTTTCTCTCTTCCAGATTTGTTCCCAACTGAGTACCAGACTAGAAAAACAACAGACTGCAAGTAAGGAGGAACTGGAGATTGTGAAGGTGAGAATAAGACCTCTGTATGTGATGTGTCATTAGCTCAACTATTCATACAAGCTAGCAATAAGATACTGAAAAGAATTTGAACTACAGCCATATATTAGCAGCCTTGAGAGCCAGAGAGATGGTCTAAAATACACTTTCAGATGTTTCACAGGGTGAAAACAGTTGTAGAGTACATGCTCTTGTGGATATCAGGTACATTGGAGATTCCAAACTGGAATGCACAGAACGCCTGTATTTTTTGCTGCAGAAATGGATAAGTCTTTATATATCCTAGTAAGATAACAGTCCTTTGTGGGAGCTTTTTAACTGCATTTTCATTTTGTACTGTGCACACAACTACAGTGCAGAGCAGAGAGGGCAACAGTGGCTTTGGACATGAATGATTCTGGGCAGGCCATGGAGCTGCTCTGAATTATGATGGGTCAGCCTGGCCTGCCCCAGACTTTCTATAACTATCTACCTCATGTCCTGAATACCAAGGGGGTGTGAGGAGATTTTCATACAGCTGTCTGTCTGTCCTACAGTCTTCCCGCTTCGGGAATTTTCCCATTAAGGGACTTTTGCAGCACTTTTATACTGCCACAGCAACATACATGGAATCTCTCCCTTTACATACCTCTCAAACTTTCTTAAGCATTCGTATGATCTGTTGCTATCCAGTGGCAAGCATCTGCCTATTTGATACATTAAACAGAGCATTTTACACATGTTTTACAAGTAGGTGGCAGTACAGCAACATGCCTGTCTTTTTTTAATATTTCTGTATCGAGTGCCATTTCCTGCAACCACTGTTCTAAGATTAAAATTTAGTAAGAGTAAAGTCTTATGACATTCAGCTAGTTTCTTAAAGTACTTCAGTAAACGTATTAACTATGGCTAAGTGATATGAGAGCCATATCAGCAGAATTATGTTAGCAGAGAGTGGCTATTGTTAATGACTACCAAATATTCAAGCTACTATTAACAACACAGGTGAAAGAATGCAAGCCAAAATAGGGAAAAAAAGTTTAAAGATTTAGATTAATTAGAGGGCTTAATTTTAGGTAGGTAAAGAAACAAGCCCTTCATGAGACATGAGTAGGACAAACACTCTTTAAGTAGGGGAACAAAAAGGATCCACGGAATTATAGACCAGACAGATTAATTTCCATCCCTGAAAAGTTACTGGAACAAATTGTTAACTTGTAACACCTCTTCAGGCCAAACCAATATAGAACTTGCTGTTATGTGTTCTTGACACTAGGAGCATCCTGTCAGACGATGTCACTATTACGTGCCAATATTGATAGCTATTGCATCCAGAATGGAGTGCTGGCTTCTGACAAGCAGGGAAAACCTGGGTGGCGGTGGGTTTCTAAGTAATACTTCCTTTGCAAAAAGCCATATTAACCATAATATTTGAGTAGAGGCATTCTGCTTTTTTATTAAAGCAGACAGTTTAGCCAGAAAAAACCCTGCAATCTACTAAATATGCTAACATTAATGCAATACTGTAAAAATATCACAAGCCTTGGCAAGAAGAGGGTAAAGGTGACTTCTAAAGTCTGGATGTGTTGAAAAAAATCTGATGCATGTGCCCACATCTATTGTTCTTGAACTTCTAAAAATCACATGAAGTAAGACTGTGTGACAGTCTTACACACTTGTGGCTCTACCATTACTACCAAACAGCAAATCTAACATAAGAGCAGTTCTTTCAGGAAACAGGATGTGTCCTGTAACATGGCTAAAAATTGATTCTCTGGCTGTTCTCAGGGTAAAGTGATGGCTTGCAAACACTGCAGTGAAATTTTCAGTAAGGAAGGAGCATTGAAGTTGCCTGCTATAAGCAAAGAGACCCAGGGAACAGAAACAGATGATGAGAAGGATGCACTCAAGAAGCAGCTGAGGGAGATGGAGCTGGAACTGGCACAGACCAAATTGCAACTTGTGGAAGCAAAATGCAAAATTCAGGTACACACACAGATAACCTTCAGCAGAAAAGACTGTATTAAGCCCTGTTTACCCTACAATTTATGTGGAATCCGGTTGCATCATGACTGTTTCCTTGACCTGGTTCTGTTATGTAGTGCAGATGGTACTAGAATGCTACTGTGTTTTTATACAGAGACACTAAGTAAGGCTATATGTAGACTGATACTTTTGTTGGTCAGGGGTGTAAAAAACATCCTCTGACAAACATGTTTTACCAATGAAAAGCACCCCGTTGATAGTGCTTTGTCTGAGAGATGTTCTTCCTCCAGTAAAGCTATTGCTGCTCTTTGAGAGTGGTTTTATTTTGCCAACAGGAGAACTCTCTCCTGCAACAAAGAGGAATTATGTAGACCTTACAGTGGCATAGTTGCAGTGGCACAACTGTGCCACTGTAAGGTAGGCTGAGTAGACATTAAAAAAAATTGTAAGGGGTCTCTTTTCCTGCTCCAAAGCCGAATAGTCATCCTTGCACTTCCTACAATGCTAGCCAATGCAGAAATATGCATATTGCAGCCTCTTAAAGTGACACATTGTACACATTTCACCTACATGGTAGGGAGCTCTGGGAAGGGTTTGAAATTCAGTGCCTCCTATAGATCTGCTGGAGGTAAATATAATTGTACAGCATTCCCAATCCATGGCAGTGACTATCGAACACAATCCAGCCATTTAGTATCATAGTACTATGTCCAAAAAAAAAGCACTAATTAGTGGCTTTAATTTACCTCTGCACTATCTGGTCTTTTGTTCAAGCACCTGTCCTATTCTGCTAAGCTTGTGGAGTCACTCTCCAAAAGCGACAACCTCCATTCTGGATAGTAGTATCCCTTGTGGCATCTGTCAGTACCTATCAAAAGATGTTTCATCCAAGAAAGGCAGTACCCTACTCCTGAGATACTACCCTTCCTCTGTTAGATCAGGGGTAGCTCAAGATACACCCTTCCTTTCATACCACTGTTCTACTTCTGGACATCTACATACAGCTGCCAAGCTATCAAAGCACCATACCATTGTCTTTTATCCTAATATATTTTTAAGCCTTGTGCACCTACTGTGTGTGTGCACGCGCGCATGCTAGTCTGCACTACTGCTACACCCACACATCACCTTGGAGAACTTATTTTCTGCCAGTCTAATTGGACTTAAATAACTTGTGAATTTCTGGGAAAACAGGATTTTCCTTTTCACTCTCCCCTTCCAGTCTTCAAAGAAAATGGGCTCTAATTTGTGGTCTTACCTTCTGTAATTCTACTGCCTCTCCCACTCCTTCTCCTTGTGACAGTAGAAGGAAAGAATTTAAAGGGATTGACTGAAGATGCCTCTGTAATCAAGAATTTTTATCAATTCTGAATATTCTACTTCCTTAGGAGCTGGAGCACCAGCGAGGAACCCTTATGAACGAAATTCAAGCTGCTAAAAACTCTTGGTTTAGCAAAACCCTGAACTCTATCAAAACTGCCACGAGCACCCAGCCACCACAGCAGCCTCTGCCATCCCAGCCATCTAAAGAGAGCAGTACATAGTTCCAGCCAGACCTCAAGCACAAGAGCACAAAGAACAAAGCAACTAATACCCTGGAGGATTTTTCCCAAGGGTCTCTCTTCTTGGGGAAAGGATGAAAGGCAGGAGTGTGGGACTTGAAGTAAAATCCTTCAGTGTCTTTACTCATTCTGTTGTGACCCTTCCAAAGGGAAGTTATTTAAAGAATCTAATTTCATGTTGAATACTTACTTCCCAACTGCCTTCCTGAAAGCCACATTCCAATACCGTTGTCCTTTTACACTTTCTTTTCTATGCTAGAGGTTAAGATGAATAATAAATAACTCAGAACTAAGTGTTTAGTATGTGAACTAAAAAAGTTATTTTTATCTTGCATAAAAGATTTTTCTTTTTGGGAAAGAGAAGGCAGCATAAAGTACTGAGGCATAAATCTTGTAAAAGCACAGTATAATGCCAGGTTCTATACTCATGCTATAGGATCATCTCAAGTTTACTGTAGTGATTGCATCCTGTAAAGAAGCATTTCCCCTTCGTTGTAAGTCTTAAATCACAGCCAAAATAGTCTTGTGCTCTTTCTGGCATAGCACAAGTATTTAATCTTCCCTGTGAATATTCTGATTGATTTTGGCTATTAGTTTCCTGCACAGATTCAAGGAGCAGAGATCTTTCCAGGTGCTGAGTGGCAGCACTATTTAATTCTTGTGTATCACACCTGAATTGGAATTTAAAGTGAAATCTTCTGGTTCCCATCTTATTTTATGGTTTATTTTCAGAACTGGAGACATGTTAGTTTTGACATTCTATTAAGACTTTGCAATAAAAGCTATTTTCAGTGTGAAGTGGATGGAAATATTTTAATCTGAAACACTGGGCCAAGGGTTAAGCATTGCATTTGGCACAAATCTGGGCCTATCAAATCAAAAAGCTCTCTTTGCACAGAAGAAACAACCATCATGGAAAAGTTTTTGTTTTTGTCACTTTATTAGAGAATCTTAAGTTGCTGTATCCTTTTTTAAAAGGACAAAATATTTAAAATGCAAGACAGATTTTACACTTGAGGTAAATTCTTTGATGATTATTCCTGAGTCTGTCTGAAAACCTTAATCATCTTAATATCTCTAAGTTGAAGTGAGAAAGCAGTTGACATTTTTGATTGAACTTAAATGTTTATAGAAATACTTATTTCATGAAAAATTAAACTATTGCTTAAACTGATGGAAATATTTTTAATTTTATTTAACATTTTATAAGATGGTCTTGCAGATAAATATCATTGCTGGATAAGAGGTTGGTTGTGTATTAAGTTTCCCCATGTTATAAAAAGCTCTAGGGACATTAGCCCTTTTTGATTTTTTTTTTAAATTTAAGTAATGCAATATCTTATCAGCTCTGTACAATAAAGTTTAATGATACATGCTTTATTTTCAGGCATATTTGCAGAAGATTTTTACATGTTGTACAAGTTTAACATTTACCCTGTGCCAAATGAGAAAATTTTTGAGGAGCAGCCAGCTGTTTGAAGTAGAGATCAAAATAGTCACTATCCACAGGCAGGCAAAGTCCTGCCACTTGGTGATTCTGGTTCTCTTTTCTAAGTAGAGAGATGAATAAAGAGTTAAGTTCCTCCTGTTAGAATAGTTTATAAACTTATGTGGAAGAACAGTGGTTTGTTACTCTAGATGTTGTTACAGAATGGAACCAAAATAAGAGGGTCTACAAATTAAACAGAATTTTGGCATGCTTTCCCTAAGTTTTGTGCTATAGAATACTTATGTAAATAAAATGTTCCTATCCTGTGGAATTACTAAATTCAGATGTCACTGGCAAGTGAAATTAAACTTGAACTAAATTATATAAAACTGGAGGTGACAAATACACATGGCTAAACATTAGGCTAATAACTATTTAATACTTGGAATACTGTGCTCACAGCCAACATTGTTATTGGTATCAAACCACCAGTTTTGTCCAAATTTTTCATTTAATTCTAATCCTTTAACTGAGATCATGCCCATAGCTTGGTTTGTAGTGTTTTCCAAACAAGGTCTTCAGTGCAATAATAAAACAGAAAAGTGACTTAATGGCACCTTCTGGTAGTGTTCACAAGAACATGGATTGGCACCATGTTGGCTCGTTACACCTATTGGAAAGGAAGTTGGATCCTATTTTGCCTTCAGGCAAAAGCAATAAAAAATTGCCAAGTACTGATGACAGAATCTTAATTCCTGCTAATGACACAAGAGGCTTGATTTTCTTCCCCATCCCAGGTTGAGCATCTCCTATAATTTAAGAATGATTAACAGTTAGACTTTTAAAACTGCAAATCTTGTTTGAAATCAGTGAAAGAATGAACAAAACAGCTCTATTTTCAAAATTACTTTCCTAATTAATGATAGTCATTCAATAAGCTGGAAAGCTAACAAGACTGTAGGGTAACATACCACTTTCTGGCTGTATATATAAATAACCTAACAGTGTAATAAAGATAAAAACTTTAGTCTGGCTGTATATATAAATAACCTAACAGTGTAATAAAGATAAAATAAGTTTTAGTTGGCTCTTTCAGTAGTAAACGATAACCAGGTACATAATGAAAATATGTACCTTCAGAGCTCGCTGATTTGTGGCAAAACCAGATGTTCGTATAATTTTTTTCCAACGGTAAACATTCTGAACTATTGTCTCACTAAAACTATTACGTATCTGTTCCAAAACCACTGAAATAGTTAATACAACTCAGTGTGGAAGTTAGCTTTAAAAAAAAAAAAACCTTCAATATCAAAATACATGCCCACTTTCAGCAGTTGTACTAAAGGTAACTTGTGTCCGTCCGTATGTAAAGAACAAGCATTATTGGGGATTTTTATTTTTACTTCCATTCAGAACAAGTAATTCTGAAATATGGCCTTAATGTCACTTAAAGGAACAAAACTCAAACATATTTTGGTGCAATTATTAACCTTGTGGATACTAATACCTCACTGGAGTGCACAATGCAAAAAGAACAAGTACTTTTTCCCCCCACTTTATGCAGAAGTTTTTTATTTGAGAGAAACACTTCACAGGATAAATAAGGCAAGTTAGGTTGATTACACGGAACATCAATGCACTGATCATGTTTTTGTGGATTAAATATGAATGTGTGTAAAATAATAGTGCGTACTTCATGAGACCCAGATTTTTGAAAAGTTAACGTAGGTTTGTATGCTTCAATGCTGGATAGAAGGAAAAGAGTCAACCAGAAACTCAATATAGCCAGCTGATATACACATCCCAGTCTCCGGCCTGCTCATTAGATTGTACATCTTCCCATTCGCTACAGCTAAATTATATTTAGATAAGCAGAAAAGTCTTTTTGTATTCTAAGTTGTGTGGCAGAACTTTGTATAGCAGTTGAATTTCCTGTTTTATGCTAGCATATTCTGTTACATTGTCTGGTATTTCATTAAAAAGCTATTTTGAAACAAAAAGGCATGAGATTTCTCCCTTCTCTAGAAGAAGATAGATTCAGGTAGAGAAGAAACCCATTCCTCAACATCAGAGTATATTAGTCACAGCAGACTCTTGTAGTCCAAGTAGAAATAAATAACATTAGGTTTTGTTGCAAACCTCTAGCACCATGGTGTCCAATCAGTTCTGAAGCAGTAGCTACTATAGTGGCTACTGCTCTGGCCAACTAGCCACATTATTCTGAAAATATGTTTTATTGTTCAAGCCACCACACTCAACTGGCCAAATAACCCCCATGTGGTTAGTGGCTAGCATGTTGGACACCACCACAGCAGGGATGTGAACGACTAGTTGACTATCCGATAAGCAAATGCTTATTGGATGGTTAACACACTAATCAACTACAGGCAGCCCCCGACTTACAACACAATCTGTTCCTGGGGAAGCATAGCAAGTCAGGGGCATCGTAATTCAAACCCACATTTACGATAGGCACTGTGTGCCATCATAAGTGCGGGCTGAGGTCATAAGTTGGGGGTATCCTGTAGTTACTTCCCCCCACCCTTGCTGCCTCTCTCTCAAAGAGGCAGCAAAGGGGGGTAGGCGGGAGAGAAGAGGAGAGGAGGTGGTACTTCAAAGTGGCAGCACCACATGGAGCTCAGGACCAGACCCCAGGCTTCATGCAGCATTGCCACTTTGAAATGCTGTGTGCAGTCCAGGGCCAGCTGGGGACTCCCTAGCTGGCCCCAGGCTTCATGAAGCATTTCAAAGTGACAGCACCTTGTGAAGCCTGGGGTCTGCTGCTTTGAAATGCTACGTGCAGCCTGGAGCCAGCTTGGAGTTCCCATCTGGCCCAAAGTTGCACGTGGTGTTTCTAAGTGGTGTGGAGCCTGGGGCCAGTTGAGGACTCCCCAGCTGACTCCAGGCTCCATGCAGCGCTGCTGCTTTGAAATGCCACAGGGAGCACGGGGCCAGTGGGGGACTACTTAAGTTCTCTGCTGGCCCCGTGCTCCACGCAGTGATTTTGCATGTGAAGTGTAGCAACAGCTCTGGGACTGCTGTTACGCTTTAAAGGCAGGGACACCCCTATCAACTAATCAAATAGTCGATGCAAGTTGCATCGACTATTCGATTAGCCAGTTAATCTAAATTTAACATCCCTACACCACAGACCTGGCATTTAATCCTGGTGCCAGTAAAACAATGACAAAACTCCTACTGACTTAAGTGGGGTCAGGATTTCACCCCTGGAGTTGAGTCTGATATGCTGATGAGCCTCAGTGATTGTGTTCCTTAACAGAGTAGAAAAACTGCCTGTACTGGCTGCTACAGTATCATGATTTACAAATGTTAAGTATGCAGAGTTACAAAAATCTTGCTTTTGTGATGTCACAATCTCTTGTTAGGAAAGGTGCAGGGCTAAATTCTGGTGCTCTTGTAGTTAGTAATATCATACTGGACATGTAATCCCAATGAAATCTACAAAATTACTCACATGAGTATGTAGCAGAATTTTGCCCTTGATTTGGTCAGACAGGAGACATTCTGGGGGAAAATCTACACATGATTACATTAATTAAGAACTGAATGTTTTTCTCTTGAACTTACAGCAGCCATTGGGGATACCTTTTTGTTCAATAGCCAGCTTTAGTAGATGTATGGCATTGCATATGCCCATAGATATAACATAGCACTGTCTATTTTCCTCTTAAAAATACAGATTTATTCTAAATTCCTGTTCAGGTTATTATACTAACCAGCCTACAGATAGCTGTCCCACTGAAAAAAAAAAAAAATAAAAAAAAAGATTTTCATCTAAATGGATGCTCTCACACTACCTCCACTTTGGACTATTCAGTGTAGAACGTTCTGAACACACCCAATACACTCTTTAAAACCAGACAAATTTTAAGAGAGACTCACAATGGAAACTAAAAATGGAGCATATATAGGCACAAATTACAATCCAACTTTTCCCAGTTCAGAGCTCTACAAAACATTTCAGGACCACTACTCACTATGTAGATGTTTGCCCTTCAGGAGTACAGAGCTGTCATTAGTTTCTTCCTGACTCCCATTGGTTTGCTTCTGAATGTATTTCATTCATGTCTATTTTTACTTGGAAAGCTTATGGCTCAAAAATTAATACTTTTCTTCCTTCCCTTATTTCTTATTCAGTGTAACTTGTTTCTATTTAACCTGTAAAGGAGCATATATGCATTTTTGGAAAACTATATATTATATATAGAATAATATATAGGAAACTGAATTAGGAGATAATACATCAGAAGGGTCTGGTGTCACAAATTTCAGTCGTGATTTGATAACCATCAGAATCCTGGGCTGTACTAATTTCCTTTCAGATTTCTCTTATTTTTGTATTTTATATAATACATGGATCCTACTACCAAGTCATATGAACAAGAGAAACATTTCTTGGCCTCCTTGTTTGGTTTCTTCCTTCCCTCTCCTCAACAGTCCCCCGGAGGAAACTAATGTGGATGATGCTTTCAAGAATTGTATTGGGAAGCATTTCATTAGAATCTTCTGTAAAAACCCTAACTCTGGAGAGAATCTTCTTTATAGTTCAAGAAGAAAATAAAATAATGTCACCTGCAAGTGGAGATGGGCCCTCTCCAGATTTCTAGTTTTCCAAAATTCAAAAGGAGTTCAGTTCCACAGGTTTTATGCTGCCTCTTTAAATAAGGACCAGTTGCAAAGTTTGGATCTAGAGCAAAGACTTCCCAGCTGTTAGGGTTATTCAACTGCACAGGTTTTTTTTTGGGTCCAACTTTAGTTACAAGAGAAATACGCTGATAATGGATTAGGGAAATACAGGAGCTTTGCTGTGTGAGACTTATTATTTGGGACCATTTCTAAACTACCAATCAGTCCCTATGTAACAGATCCATGTATTTTATAAAAATGTAATGTAATGCTTATTAAAAGTGCAATTTAATGTACATTGTCACAAATGTTTACTTTTTTAATTGTTACTAACATGCTTAGATCAGTATCTTGTTTTCATTGTGTAAATGATACCTTGTAAAATAAACAAATGCAAACAAGATGAGAATGAGAGGCTTGTTTTCATAAAGTGCTCACATTACTGTGTCCTCCATGTCCATTCAACAAATGGCTAGAATCCCTTTACAGTAATAATTCTTAACAGCATCATTTTATATGCTTATTGCAACTCACTTTGAGCACTTTCAGGCATGCAGTATAATGTATCAAGTCCTATTACTAAGCTTAAGACTATTAGAGTTATTTATAGTAAAAGCCATGGACCAGTTGTGGGCAATAAAAAAAAAATTCAGAAGCCTGCAATCTGTCCCTGACTTTTACTAAAATAACTACTAGTGAGAGGAGTAAAGGGGATCATGTGCTGACCACCATAGGGGAATTGAAGCCTGAGTCTGTGTGTGAAAATTCATTGACAGACCAAGCAAAGGAGAACTGAAGCCAAACAAGTGATCGAGATTTGTTAAAATAAAAGGTCACAGAATCCCCTAACCTCTGAGACTAAATTGTATCCACCTATCACTGAATTCAAATTTAAGAAATCCACCAGGAGATATTACGTAATAACCAGCTAATTTCAAAGGGTCTGGGGCAATGGTAGTCAGACAGACAGACTGCAGGCCAAATCCAAACTAGACATTTATTAATAGACCCCACATTTTTATGTGCTAATTATAATAATTATGTTTTAATTATTTTCTCTTGTGGCTGTACCTTGACAAAACATTGACCACGAAATTTGGACCCTGCAAAAATAATTGACTTCCTCTGGGTAGAGATGTAAGCCACTAGTTGAGTGACAGTCGCTCTCTCCCCACCCTGACAACAACTCTCTGACTACGGTTATCCAGCCAATTATGCACCCACCTTATCGTGGCCCTATCTAAGTTATATTTGCCTAGTTTATCAATAAGAATATCATGCGAGACCGTATCAAATGCCTTACTAAAGTCTAGGTATATGACATCCACCGCTTCTCCCTTATCCACAAGGCTCGTTATCTTATCAAAGAAAGCTATCAGATTAGTTTGGCATGACTTGTTCTTCATAAACCCATGCTGGCTATTCCCTATCACTTTATTACTTTCCAAGTGTTTGCATACGATTTCCTTAATTACCTGCTCCATTATCTTCCCTGGGACAGACGTTAAACTGACCGGTCTGTAGTTTCCTGGGTTGTTCTTATTCCCCTTTTTATAGATGGGCACAATATTTGCCCTTTTCCAGTCTTCTGGAATTTCCCCTGTCTGCCATGATTTTTCAAAAATCATAGCTAAAGGCTCAGATAGCTCCTCTATCAGCTCCTTGAGTATCCTGGGATGCATTTCATCAGGACCTGGTGACTTGCTGACATCTAACTTTCCTAAGTGATTTTTAACTTGTTCTTTGTGTATCCTATCTTCTAAACTTACCCTCTCTCTGCTTGTATTCACTACGTTAGGCACACCTCCAGACTTCTCGGTGAAGACCGAAACAAAGAAGTCATTGAGCATCTCCGCCATTTGAGCATCTCCGCCAATACTTAACATCCCTACCTCTGGGTTGGATAATGCTAAACCACACCTGTGTCTATGGTCCATAGCTCAAATGCTGGCAGTCCAAGAAGAAGTGACAAGTCACATTGCTCCTTTTTTCAAATTGTTTCTAAAGATGTCTGGATATTAGGGATGTTAAAATTAGACAAATCAACTAAACAAATAGTCAATGGAATTTCCATCCACTATTTGATTAGTCAGTAAGGGCACTTGCACTTAGAAATGTAACAAAGCCTGCCTGTTGCTACATTTCGATGGTGAAAGTGCAGCCCTGTGTTCCGCCTTTGAAATGTACAAGAGCCCAAGCAGAGGCTCTTATGCATTTCAAAGGTTTAAATGCTGTGTGGAGCCCAGGGCCAGCGGAAGACTTAGACCCCAGGCTCCATACAGCACTTCTGCTTTGAAATGTACAAGAGTCCCAGTGAGAACTCTTGTACATTTCAAATGTAAACACCACAGATGCGCCCCTGCCCCCTCCCACAGAACTGAAGGCAAACCAGCTTTTAAGCCAGCTCCCCTCAGCCCCCCTTCCTCTTCCGCCCCCCCGCCCCCGCCTCTTTCTGACAAAGGCAGCAATGGGGGGGAAGCAACTCATCAACTAATGTGTCAACTATCCAATAAGCTTTTTGCTTATAGGATAGTCGATTAGTCACTTACATCCCTACTGGATATATTCAGATTCTGTAGGCTTTGCTGCTAGAAAGCAAAGATACCAGTCTGTCTATATATAGTATATACACCATTCCTAAAGGCTGATACTACATAAGAGTGAAGATACAGAAGCTTGTCTCAAAGAGCTGTTTATATCCCTAGGAGCACTCACAAAGGAAGGAAGCATTGGGGCAGCCCAGCGTGAAATAGGGATGTAAGAGTGTAACCACGTAATCTCACCATTTATACCCTTCATAGGGCTGCTGGGAGCCAGGAATCCTGGTGGCACCTAAGGTCTGGGAGCCATTGCGACAGCCAGGGCAACCCCGGCAGCCTTGCAGCAGTCCTGGAATCCACGCAGGGAGTTGCAATTAACCACATAGCCCAAGGGTAAGGAACCTTTTTTGGGTTGGGGTCCGCTGACACTCAGAAAAATAAGTTGGGGCCACACACAAGAAAGAATAAAAAAAAACAACACACACACCACCTCACTGACATGGCACCCGACTAAGGAGAAAGACATGCCTGACATTCCCCTCACATGCCAGAGCCTAGGGGGCCCCAGCCTAGTAGATTTTGTGTGCTCCAACCCTGCAGTGGGATGCGGGAGAGGGAAGCTGGAACACCAGCACAGACTCCCCAAAGCTAGGAAGGAGCCCCAAGCCTTGAGGGCCAGATCAAGGCAAGCCAGGGGCTGCATCTGGACCCCTGGCCTTAGGTTCCACACCCCTGGTGAAGAAGATAGAAATTCTATCAGTTACATGGTCAGTAATTTTTAAGATTTTCCCTAGTGTGAAACACTTTTTTTTTGTTTTAGGGCTGTCAATTGACTTGTGTTAATGCCTGCGATTAATACAGGACAAGATTAATGCATTAATTTTTTTAACATGTTAATCACAGGTATTAATGCTGGGGACTTCAGCTGATCCCGGGCTCCATGCAGCGCTGCCCTGTTGAGATGCCGCCGGCATTTCAAAGGGGAAGCACATGCGATTAATCGCGCAATTAAATGTTTCAATCCCTTGACACCCCTAGTTTGTTTTAAACCTACTGCCTATTAATTTCATTTAGTGACTCCTAGTCCCAAGGAGGAGTAAATAATGCTTCCTTACTTATTTTCTCTACAGTCATGATTTCATAGATCTGTATCATAGCCCTCCTTAGCTGTTTCTTTTTCAAGCTGTAAATTCCCAGTCTGTTCCACACCCCTAGTTATTTCCGTAGTCTTTTTCTGCACCTTTTCTAATTAGGGATGTTGAAATGTGTGCAATTTTTTAACGGTGTAACTGCTGCAAAGTTTAGCAGGTGCACACGAGGTGGCAAGCAGCTCTCTGGAAGTTTGGTCTTTAAAAGACCAGTGTAAGGACGCTAATTGAGTCAGGCTGGACGTGTCCAATTCATAGCTTTTGACATGCAAATGCCACAACACGTTCAGTCCGACTCAATTAGCGAAAAAGCCACTGCTTTGGCGGTTATACTCTGAACTCTCTAATTCCCTGAGGGAGTGGGTTTTAACCACAAAAACTCTCATCGGGAGATAGCACCATATTAGCCTCTAAGGTGCCACAGGGCTGCTCGGCGTTTCTAGGTTCCTGTTGTTCAAGCATAAAACTCTTATCCACAGAGGCACTACACGGCAGTTCGCTTCAGTGGAGATTGTCTCGTCCTTCGGCACGAGGCTCTCCTCCACAGAGCGCCCCTCGCCCACCAGCCCCGCCTCTACGGCGCCCCACTGAGTAGCCTCCTTGCGCCCAGCTTCGGCCCGGCAAGGCACACGGCAGATAGGGCGCCAAGGCGCTCGCTCACCTACCTTCCCCCGGCTACTGCTCCCGGTCTGTCGGGCCCAAACCAGAGGCAGCTGCTGAGGAAGGGGGCAGGGAGCTCGGCCCCAGGAAGCCGAGCTGGGCCTAGGACCTGACCAGCGCCCAGGCCCCGGCGGCTCTGCCCTGACTGCGCAGCCCCGGCTCCTCATCCCTCTCCCTGGAGCGCCTTGTCGGCCGGAGGCGAGTCAGACTGCCGCTGAGGTAACCGGCAGCAACGGCCCGCCAACGGCTCACACCCCGAGG